TAACCTTAGTGTTCTCTGGTACCTCAGCTTGTACTGCTAGTACTCCCAGCTCAACCTGGAGTAAAGGATCTAAATCTAGATTTCCAGATATTAAATCTTGTCTTAGCTGAAGATACATAAGATGTTGAAGTGGAGAACATAGTTCATCATACTCCGGGGTAGAGATATATCTGAGATATAGAGTTAGAACACCGTTATGTAGATGAGAAGCAAGTAAACTATCCTGATCCAGGTATAAATATTCTTCATCCAGGCAGCTAAATAATCCAAACATACTTCTCATCTCATCCTTTACTTTCATCCTATCCAGGCATACTTGGAGTACATCCTTAGTTTTAGTTTTCATCTTCTCTACTCTCATCTCTATCTTGTGTCCTGTGAGTAAAAGTATCCGAACTATCTGTCCAGCTCTAGAACTCTCCGCCAGAGAATACTGAAGGGCGGATCTACTCCGCCGTTGGATAAAACCTGGGATATAAGGTTCAGGTTTAGGTTCAGGTTTACAGGTTGAACTAAGCTCCAGGTTGGTTCTTCGTCCTTTAAACTTTAATCCAGGTAGATCAAGCAGAGCAAATACATCATTGTTGTTCATTAAATTCTCTAAGGATGAAAAACAGGGATCTGAGAGTTTAGGAACCAGGCTTGGACAGGATACAGATCCACCAATCCGTCCTTGTTCATTTAACATGGATTGTCCAATCCGTCTTTGTAATCCAATATCAGCTCTTCCAAACCGACCTAGTTCACTTCGTCCTTTATCACCGGACACTAGATGATGATTTCCATCTTGGTGGAGAGGGTTTAAAGCTGACTCTGACTGAGTATAGATATATTGTTGAACATTGCTCTGCTCCTGTATAGACTGATACCTGGAGTAAAGACTAGAAACCAACCTAACTGCATCTTCAGCTCCAACTTTTCTCTCCAGGTAGATGATAACATCCGACAACTTGGGGATATAGGAGAAGGTTTGATTAAGAATACTCTTGAAGAACATCATTATTTCAGTGGATAGATTTTCTCCGGGTATACTTGAGATCATAGTTCTAGCAAGGGAGTATAATCCAACCCTCTGCCAATCCTCTCCAATCATATTCTCCAACCTTATATTACAGGTTGGAGGCAGGAGAGATATATCTCCTATTCTTGATATATCTCCTTTATTTAATCCATCCAAGGATATATCTCCAGTAGGATGGAGCAGTATATTACTCCTTGTAACTTGAATATATTCAGGGAGTTGGAGTACATGTACTCCAGACTCCAGATATATATCTATATTTCTTAATATCTCCACACTAACAAGATGGAGTACTGCCCAACACTCCGTCTCAACTAGAATTATATCCTCCAACAGTTTACTAAGCTGGAGCCTGGAGCCCATTTTTAACACGTCTTCTCTACTCCGCAACCGAAACATGACTGCTCGTCAGTCCGCAGTCGTCTCGTGCTTATCTGCTAAGCGCTGACTGAACCGAGAGGCGAGAACTCTGAAGTCTGAAATGTAGGACAGCCGGCCGGGTACCATCATTAGAATGCCGTGCCGGTAAAATGTTTTTATTTTATTTTTTATTTGGAAGAGTAGGTGAAAGATTTATCAAACAGTTTGTTTCTTCCTTATATTTTTGTTTCTGAGACTGACTTTATCATTGTTTTATTTATCAAACCATTTATTTTACTTTGCTTTAGAGAAGTAAGAGAATTAATGTATTTATTGCAATTGCAGGTATGCAAGTTTAACGGGCCTACTCTATCCCCCCCCCCCCCCCCAATAGCCTAGATTCAATGGGGTTTAGGGTTAACTTCTGCTTGAATAGAATACGACCACCCATGTACGGAAATTACGGAATAAAGAAGTTTATTAAACGGAATAAAATTGACAAAACAAAATATTTTGAATCATTAATTTACTTTTGTTAATTTGAACACAACACTGCAGTAGACACGATGCTACGATGCAAATAGAAGTTTAGATAATAAGTAAATAGATAGATAGACGATTAAATAGATGTATATAAAATGGGATAGATAGATGATAGAATAGATAGATAGACGAATAAATAGATGGATATAAGATGGGATAGATAGATGAGAGAATAGATAGATGGATAATCAAAAAGATAGATAGACGAATAGACAAATAGATGATAGAATAGATTGATAGATGATAGAATAGATTGAAATATATAGAGGATAGAATAGACACAATATAAAGATAAATAGAAAGATGATATAATATAGACAAATGATAGCATAGACAATATATGAATGCAGCAAATGCCTTACTCCTATAGTTATTTTAAATATGTATCCATCTAGATACAACCCACTCTCGAACTGTATCTTTCCCAATAATATTTTAGTCGGTATCAGATACGACACTACATGAATTCTTTAGTATGTATCGTTTAGATACAACTCGCTCTAGAACTCAAAGTCCAACCATTAATACTTTAGTCTGTGTACGTGAATGTGATAGAATATGCAATATTTTAATATAAATGCATAGGTGATAAAATAGACTTATAGATGAAGATTAATAGATATATGATTGAATATACAATATTTTAATATAAATGCATAGGTGATAAAATATACTATAGATGAAGACGAATAGATAGATGGAGAATAGACTGTATTTTAATATAAATACATAGGTGATAAAATACACTATAGACAAAGACGAATAGATAGATGGTAGAATAGACAATATTTTAATATAAATGCATAGGTGATAAAATAGACTTATAGATGAAGACGAATAGATATATGATATAATAGACAATATATTATTATAATTAAATAGGTGATAAAATAGCCTTATAGATGAAGACGAATAGATATATGATATAATAGACAATATATTATTTTAATTAAATAGGTGATAAAATAGACTTATAGATGAAGACGAATAGATGTATGATATAATAGACAATATATTATTATAATTAAATAGGTGATAAAATAGACTTATAGATGAAGACGAATAGATATATGATAGAATATACAATATTTTAATATAAATGCATAGGTGATAAAATATACTATAGATGAAGACGAATAGATAGATGGAGAATAGACTGTATTTTAATATAAATACATAGGTGATAAAATACACTATAGACAAAGACGAATAGATAGATGGTAGAATAGACAATATATTAATATAAATACATAGGTGATAAAATACACTATAGACAAAGACGAATAGATAGATGGTAGAATAGACAATATTTTAATATAAATACATAGGTGATAAAATACACTATAGACAAAGACGAATAGATAGATAATAGAATAGACAATATATTAATATATACCTATACAGACAAGTAGATGGTGTATGACGTGGCTTAATCCGAAACCAATTCTTTTAAAATCCGCAATTTTATTAAAATATAAAATTTTTTGTCATATTTTGAATTCTCTTTGCAAATATCATCTTTATCAATCTTAAAACATGTCATTATGATAAACAAAATGTTGTTTACATTTCACAAGGATTTTTTCATGGTTTCATTCAGAAATCATTAAAATCTTATCTTTATGGCTTGCTTGTATTAAATATTTGATAGATTTTAGATGGATTTTTCTCCTGATTTCAAGTTGTACTTTGATTTGAAAATTCTGGAATTATATTGAAATTGAATACAAATGAAAATAACCTATAAACTTTTTTAAAAGACGACAAAGTTTATTTTCACAAGAACAGTTCAGTGCACTTATTTTTTCAAATATGTGCACTGAACATTTTTAGAATAAGGGTACGTAGATATATAGTTAAATGTATGGTAGATGTATAGTTAAATATATGGTAGATATATAGTTAAATAGTTGGTAGATATATAGTTAGATAGTTGGTAGATATGTAGTTAAATATATGGTAGAAATATAGTTAGATAGTTAGTAGATATATAGTTATATAGTTGGTAGATATATAGCTAGATAGTTAGTAGATACATAGTTAGATAGTTGGTAGATACATAGTTAGATAGCAAGCTATAACAAGCTGGCTCTGCAATATCTAAAATAGTTAGGTGTGAGTTGACCCATCAGCCTGGAGTAAGCAAGGACCTAAGCTTGAAAAATATTTACTTTTATTTGTAATGATAATATAAGAAATAGATTAGATTTTAATAAATATTTCTGCTTCCCTCATCAATCCATGATTTGTCATAATATTTCTCAATAAATCATAATTTTGCTTCTCCTCCGGTCATGTAATGTAATGTAATTTATTTCTAAGTTCTTAATTTGAGAATATAGTCCTAAACTTGGATTCTCAAAGAAACACCTTGTACTTGGTGAATTTCATTCATCATTTACCAAGTTTTTTTTTTAAATTCAAGTTGAAGGAAAGTTAGGTTTAAAAAAGTTTTTTTTGGCTTTACTTTGTAATACGTCTTGCTACTCTATCGATTACAATTACAGACATAAATCTTCGGGTTTTCCATAGTTTTCCCGGTACATTTCATAAATCCCAATTATACTCTCTCTTTATATATATATATATTTCGCAGAGTATGAATGAATGTGATTCATCAGCTATTCAGTTTATTGATCTAAATACATCTGTTTAGGGTTCTTCTTGTTGAACCAGTTTCCTATGTGTGTTTGTAGAAGACAACACTTCTGCTTGTTGCAGTACGTTAGCTCTCAGTCCGTCTATAAGGTTCTTGAGTATATTTAGCTCTTCTAAGGTTTCCGCCAATCCAGCCTGTAGTTTCAGGAAATCCCGTGGAAGCATGACAAGCCACAAAAGATCACGAGTTCGGAGCTGTTCCTCTATTGTTGCAATCCTCTGTCTAGTATTGACATACTTCCGAAATACAATCTTTCAGGGAATTCTTTGATTAACTGTTCCAGTTCTGTGTCAGTCTGAACAGCTTCCTCAATCTCAATCTTGTTTTAGCTGAAAATTCAAACTTTGAATTCGGTTACATAACATAGTTTTATGCAAAGTTTTACACCATCAGGTTGCAAACATATAGGGATTAGAAAAAACTCAATCCCTGTGCAGAAAACAAAATGGCGGATAAGACGCCTGAACCAACAGCTGACGAGCCTGCAACTGGGGAAGAAGTTCCTCCCTCTGAAGAGGTAAAGTGTGTAGTACAGGGTGGAGCGCAAATGGTCCAAGGTCACACGACAAACGAGTAAAAACGCGACAAAGGAAAAAAAGAGCAAAATGACATAATTTGGGTTAGGACTTGTTAGAATAATTTCTGAGATTTTTATTTTTTAAGTAACCCTATACACATTCCCTAAGGTTTTTATAGGGGGGGGGGTGCGTGAGAAGCCTCCCAGTCTATACATAGATTCAGACTCCCCAGCCTCTAAAGAACTTTTCAAGAAGGCTGGGACATTCAGGCCAGCCCCCACCGTGTTATGTTTTGCAAGGATCTGTGAAGTGGTAACTGAGACTGGTCTTGGCAAACACACTGTGGGTTTAGCGGATTTCTTTAATTTTTTCATTGTCTACTTTTAACATACACCGGATCTGTGTACACTGTATATGAACAGATGCCGCAACCCGTATTTTTCCCATGTACTGTATGTCACTTCATGATCTATACCTATAACGCCGATTCCCTTCTGTCCTTATTGCAAAGACGACAGATTACACCCCTTGGTAACTATAACCATCAAAGGAAAAGTGCCACCAATAAATATTACAACAAGGATTGTGACACACGTACCCATAATGTTCCATACCATCAATTTTCTGTATTGGTCTCAAAATCCAATATTTAATTAATTTAGGTCGAAGACGAGCTCCCGCCGCCAGTCATTGATCTGACAAACTACCCACTGAAAACAGATTTCTTTGAAAGCATGCACATGCTGGAACCATCAGTAGAAAAAATCAATGGCGCTGCGAATTTTAGGAGCATTTACTCACATGTATTTTAATGTAAATAAAAGAAAAGGTTTATCACAAATAGTTAAAAGAATTCTAAATATCTTAGTTAAAAGAGAACTATACCTGCAGAGAATGCAGATTACATTGTTCTCTTATGCTTCATACCGGAGGAGGTACACATTTTAGATTCTAAATCTGTTTAACACGTGTTTAGTCAATTCCCCTCCCCCTGGTGGTTTAAACATACATTTACCTCTTCAGTGTTATTTCAGAAATAAAACTTTACTCTTAAAGTTTAAGCTGTGATTATCGAGTTTTTTTTAAGTTGTCTACAAATGTACACGTACGGCTCAGTAACAGAAGATATAATTACAAAAGATATAATTACTAAATATATAATAACAAAACATTTAATTACAAAACATATAACTGCAAAAGATATAAGTAACAAAAGATTTAATTACAGAAGCTATAAAAGAAGAGAAAATTAGATCGAGTTTGTTCATTTGAACATTTCATTTAGAATTTTTTTTGGTTCATTTGAACTGTTTATATGTTCATACTACTATCCGCACTCCGCAGCGCTCACCCTCTTAGCATTTCCTAGCCGCAGCACTGGGCCTAGAAATTGTCATAACCTAAGCTAACCCTGAGATTTGAGATATTTTTTTTATTTCAGTTGAACTATTCTAATGTTCATTTGAACAAGAAATTATATTATTTCAGGGTTAGGTTAGGTTTGTGGGCCGAGCGCTGCTGCTAGAACAGGGGGGGGGACCGAGCGCTGCGGTGTAATTATATTTTTTGTAACTTATATCTTTTGTACTTTATATTACTTTTATCAGATTTAACTATATGTTTTGTTATTATATATTTTGTTTTTATATCTTTTGTAATTACAAATTATAACTAATGTTACTGAGCCGTGTACACACAGACACTACACAGTACACACTATCCTTCCAAAAACCGGGCCATATATTTTTCTATGTCTATGATTATCCAAAACATATACTCTAGTAGTAAAAACCGGTTTTTATAACTTTTTGGAGTGTGAATGAACATGTTGGTGACTGAATAGGCAGATAAATGGGTTCCCCGTCTACGGCGTAGGACAACCAACTGAAGAAGGAATTAAAGCCGTCATTGATAAAATAGATGCAGGTTAATAATACAATTATCTCAGGGAGAGGATTAGTTTAATGCTTTTTAAAGGTACTAGCGTTTTTCTAACTTTAGAAAGGTTTGTTTCTGACAATTTCTCTAGATTCTGACAATTTATAATGATCAATTTTCAACAAGAAGATAATGGATATCACATTCATCTATGATCAAAAATTCGTTGACAGTTGACAAATTGTTGCGCTTTAATTATAGTTTATTTATTATCAATCATCAATTACTCAAAGTTTCAAAATATGTTTACATACATCTGAAAAATATGTCAAACCTTTTTTGAATTTTGAGTAATTGTGAAATCCCTGATGATATAAAATTTAGAATTTTAAAGTTATTCAATTTTATTTATGTATACAAAGGCATTTTTTACAAAATGTCTTCCTAACCTGCTAATCCTAGCTTTTAATATCAAAATTTATGCAAATTTAAATCATACAGTTGCAAGTGCATGCTAAAACTGCGGACATGTTGAAACCCTGCCAATTTTCTGTATTTGATCTATAGTGATTTTGTATGAAAAATATGAATAAAACACGAAGAGCAGAATAGATAGACAGATAAATATTAATAAATGCCTGCCAAGCAGTTTAAGGATGGAATATTTCTTTACTGTGCAATGCATGAATAAATAAGCAAGCAAGGATAAAATGTAAATAACATCATAGAAAATATTTTATTTTTAATTTAAGGTAAAGATGAGAGTGAGAATAAACTGCTCTGGTTTAATATGAGATTGGTAAACTATTTAAAATATACTGGAATAGTTTCTCAATATGTTATTTTATCTACACTACAGGGTGTCCCCAGGGATAGACAAGAAGGGCTCACAGACTCATTTTGTAGTAGCAAGACGACTTCAAGGTCGTCTTTCATTTTAGATTTAATTTGCTCCTTTCATTTGTCAACCTAATTTTAGAAGTAAAATTCTAAAGAGTGTACTCCTAGTCCGGACATTTCCAAAATGTGGTCTGCCTTTTTGTGCTTTCAATGTTACTCGAGATATGAAATATTTCGTTCATGCAGATTTTGAAAATTTTGATTTTATTTAACAAAATTTAAATATGAACAAAAATTCTCAATATTGACAGCACAAAAAAGGCAGACCACATTTGGAAATGCCAGGACTAAGAACATTTTGTGTATATTGTTTAAAGTACATGTTAAAGTAGATTTACGACTAAATGTCAGAAATAAATTCCAAGATCAAAGACGACATTCAAGTCGTCTTGCTATATTTTTTGGGACACCCTGTATGTCACAACTTGAAATGCGTAAACCCTTAATCTGATTAGGGACACCCTGTTTTAATGTTTAGAATATCAAAGCTCTTCATTGATCATTGTTTATTGTTTAGGAACCTATAGTGTACGTGAACGGAACACCCTATGCCCCACGAACAGAAGACAATCTGCACAATAATATAGAAATCAAGGAATATATAAACTAAATAATAATATAGAAATCAAGGAATATATAAACTAAATAATAATATAGAAATCAAGGAATATATAAACTAAATAATAATATAGAAATCAAGGAATATATAAACTGAATAATAATAATAATCAAGGCATATTTAAACTATAAAATCGTTATTTAGGTGCATCTCATGAAGGTCAAAAGGAAGCTCTGACGTACTTTAAAAAAATGACATCATTTGAGTTAATGAATAGAAAGTTTAATCCTGAAATGATGCAATTTATGTTTTCTATCACTATACATTACGTCAATATAAAAGCAAAGCTACTTCGGTGGAGAAGTAAAGAAAAGAATTTTAATACTTTCAAATTTGTCTTCTAATTTCTTATTAATATATGAGGTCGACGTACGATATTTAAAGGAGGGAGGGGGGGGAGTCGATTTAAAACTCAACAGTACATTATACATCATGTACGCATACAGTGCAAATGTGAACACGCGTTGATATTTAGTTTGGTTTGGTTTCACAGGCAACAGAGGAAGAAATAGAAAACGTGGAGAAACATTTCGTTAAAATCCTGGAGCAAAGACGACAAGAAAATCCAGAGGGGGTTATTAAAATACAGAAGGATCAGGTGGGTAAAACAAAAATGAGTCGAAAATATCAATTTAGAAAAATTTATATGGTTACCCACACAAGATAAGACTTCAAAGACGACTGTATGGAATTTAAATTGTCGTTTTTTTTTAAATTTATGTTTCCACTATCTTTGCCAGATCATTTAATGTATACATTAAAAAATCATGTAATGTATACAAACGTACAAATTAAACCTGTATTACCTCATATTAAATCATTTTCAGGTCTTCAATTTCATGGGTAACCTTGTATATTTAATAATGGTTAAAAGTCTCTTTTTATAGTCATTGATCAGGCAAAAATATACAATTCCTGTTATCACAGATGCTGCGAGCGGCATTTCTAGAAAAAAACGAAAACCGTTCCGCATTTTATTGCTTATCACGGTATTCTATCTCAGAAAACAAAGATTGATTTGAATATTTGAGAAGACGACATTTCATTTGTTCAAAGACGACATCACCTCTTTCCAGGCGTATATAGAGAATCCAATGGAGAGGGAGAACAAGGAAGACGAGATTAAAGTGGAAACTATTCAAGGTATTTCATTTTCAGATATAAATATATTTGATAAAACCAAAACTGACTCAATCGGACCGATATTCTTCAAATCTCCGATAAACGAAGGCAGATATTTTTGGATTATCAATTTTATGAAATCTATATGAAAATCGGGTTGAAATATGGTTTAAAGACACTCTTCAAGTCATCTCTCAATTGTTATGTTTCGTGAGACTCTCTGTATGTTTGGATAAAAATGCGAGATATAAATGTGACTTGTTCTTTTCCAATACAAACAGGATGCTTATCGTTGTATAGTTCGTTTTATGATTATAAAATACATGAATATAATAATTCTTCTATTTGCCAGCTTTTGGAACGTTGATCAAAGGTTTACAGGAGAATGGATATTCTAAACTTGAGCCTGCAAGAATACCGATAGGTAATCAGTGTCCGAATTTAATGAATTTGAGCCGCGTCTTAAATCCGCCAAAAACCGGTTTCAATTGAGCGCCTGCTTAAATCTTGAAACATTGAATACAATTTTAAGTAAAACCAACCATATTTGAGCCGCGGCTTAAATTAAGGCCACCGCTCAAATTCTTTAAATTCGGCCTTAGGGAAATAAAAACTTAAACGTGAAACTGCAGTCAAAAAATTTAATATTTTTGTTTTTAATTTTTACTAAAAAAGTTATTAAAATTTTTTCTTTCCGAATGCACAAGCTGTGTGTAAGTATCCATGAACGAGGATGTTTTAAAGCCCTAAAAATTACTTTACTTTACATACAGTGACCATTAGAAAACAGTGGATTAATTCTGTAACTTGACATATGTTTAACACAAAATAGTATTTTGCATATCTCGTTGTTCGGTGAACAGTCTCTTTTGGTGGGTTCAATAAAGGAGTTTCTTTTTTCAATTTATCAAAAAGCCATGTTTGAAAAATTGATTTTTGAAAAATATCTTTTTAGTTGAAGAGAGATCACCCTGTGAAGATTGTTTTGATAAAATAGTTTCAATACTGAAGGTAATCCATGAAGAATTAAAATTACAAGTTTTGTCAAAAGTTTCAGTCTCTGATAGGTCAAGTCAAGATGTCTGTAAAGTTTCAGTCTCTGATAGGGCAAGTCAAGATGTCTGTGAAGTTTTAGTTCTGATAGGGCAAGTCAAGATGTCTGTAAAGTTTTAGTCTCTGATAGGTCAAGTCAAGATGTCTGTAAAGTTTCAGTCTCTGATAGGTCAAGTCAAGATGTCTGTAAAGTCCAAATTGTCTGAAAATTATCAAGTTTCCCTACTTGTTTCCTAATCCTCTGAAAAATATCCTTTTAGTCTGAAAACTGCTCTATTTGACTGAAAGGAATTATGATTTTGCAATAAACTAATTTTCTAATCCCTGAATCTTTGCAACGACACGTTTACCATCAGATTGAAAAGATTCAGGGATTAATCGTAATTCCTAATCTGGTGTTAAATTTTTTTTACCCCCCCCCCCTTTATCCTATTTTATATTTTTTTTATATTTTTTATATTTTTTATTTTCAGGATGAGCCAGCATCTACAATATGTTTATTTTCATGCCAAGTAACAATTTTTATAACTTTGACATTTTTTATTAAATATCGTCATTATGAAAATAAAAAGTACGTATCCTGTATATAATCGTATACCTGTAAAACTGTGTTCCTTTTTGCATTTCATTTTTACATTTAATATAACCTTAATCTTAGCTGTATAATTTTTTCTGCATTATCCAAACTAATATGAAAAGTTACATCAATCGACTTTAACTTTAGCATTGGCCGGCCTTTGATTTTACTTTACTAGCTCACTTGTAATTTTTTGTAGCCCTGGAGATTCACATTTTAGAACGTGATTATAATTTTAGATTTAGAGGGGCAATTAGTGAGAGCTTGTAACATTTGAAATAATGGTTTATATATAATATATGTGTTGTACTATTTTATTTTTGTTCCCAAAACATGTTTTATTCTAGATGGGAAGAGGCAGAACTACTATTGGAATGATTGTTGCTTGTCTTATCAAGGAAATTCAGATCACATCGGAACTCAGGTTGAGAGATTAAAGATAATTATATAAATAAGAATAATAGTAATAGTAATAATAATAGTTATAATATTAATAATGATGATAATAGTAATAAAATAATAATAATATTAATAATAATAATAATAATAATAATAATATTAATGATACTTTTCAGGAAGATGGGGGAGATCGGATTGATCCCAGCTGAAACTGTTGATGATCTAATTAGACAAAAGTTTGAGACTCCTCTCCCAAGATCTCAAGATGATGACGATCCATTTATCAAAGGTTACACGGTGGAATAGAGTCAATTTGAATTTGAACCGGACCGACTCCATGTACTTTTACTGGCCTTGGTAGCGCGTGACAAGTATCAGGCCGGCACGACCTTATCCTATGTCAGCTTGGTTTCAACTTTGATGACGCGGCCAGACTTTTTACCGTACCCGGCATATCATAGGCTAGTTGACCTACGCCAGTAGCTTAGTCTTTAGTTTGGCCCAAGATACGCACGGCAAGTACCGGCACGACCTTTTCCTATGTCGGCCTGGATGACGCGGCCAGACCTTTTAAAGTACTTGCCCTGTCATATGCCTATTTGACCTATTCCACCAGTTTAGTGGGTTGGTCGGATATAAACTCGCCTGCAAAACTAACTAAAGATTAGCTTGTCTGGGGTGTATCGGAATAAATTCAAACAGTGGGATAAAATATGAAATCAGAACTAGCCAAGAACAACAAGCACTTGTCTAATAGTTAACGTTCATGAAAGGTTTAATTGTCAATTAAGTCAAATTTGATATATTACTCTAAATTGCTTTACAACTAAGATTAAATGAAAAAAAATGCATAGCAGAAAATAAAGTTAGAAAAGAAATAAATATCTGTTGAGGAATTAGATTGAAATGAGAAGGTTTAATATGTTTTATAAAAGTCAAATTTATATTTTCCACAGTCAGCGTGATTAGTACCGCATCTGTATTATATACTTTTTAATGATTGGATTTTTATATCATTTAGGAGAGTTTGATGTGATCAAAGAGCTTCTAGAAAAGCTTCCAGAAAGCAAGGATGGAAAAACTAAGATTGATAGGTATCCATCCTACAAGATATTTATATTTTGATTTAAATAACATTTTATATAATTTGCTCATCTGTCCGATGTCAATCAATTATGTTCTACGTCACGTTTATTACAATTTATCAACACATCGTTAGATAAACATCAACATAATTTTCTTATCTGGGAATTTTAATTGGAAAAAATATTAAATGAAAATAAATTGAATATTTTAGAGTTATCGATATCTGTGGCGGGCCACCTAAAGGTAACTACAGTAATAACCAGAAAACTCTGAAATAGGAAGACGGCTTTAAAGGGAGTGTTTGCAAAAATGAAATATCAACAATTTACGAATGCGTCGACTATTGTTTGTAATATCTGAATGATTTGTTTGGAATTAAATTGATTTGTTTACGATCCGAGTTGAATGTTGCATCTTTCTGAATTTGTATGGACACTATACGTTCTTCGGTATTAGTTGTTTTTAACAATTTTCTCCTTATAGACGCAACAGATAGAAGTAATATTAGTAGCAATCAAAAGCGCTTTAATTTTTCGCGAACACTCCCTTTAAGAATGAGGTTATAACTTTAAAAAGTCCAATGAGCATGAGACACAGCAATTGTGCAGTGTAAACAGACACATTTCACTAAATTAGTTATTTGATCACTCTTGTATGCCGAGTCCAATCAGAGTTCAGTCATGTGTTTGGTGTCTATTCTGAACCAAGAAAAATAGTATGGCTGCAACATCTATCTGTTTATCTATCTCATTATCCAATTAGAGACAAATCCTTAAATCGGCGCTTTACACTAAATGGAAATATTTACTTCTACAGAAACTATAGTATGATAAGTGTCAAGTAAAACTATTCGGTTTGTAACAACATCAAATACACTTAAAGGGAGTGTTCGCAAAAAATGAAAGGGGGTAGAGGCTTAATGCGATAAAAAGCGCTTTTGATCGCTACTAATCTTACTTCTATCTGTTGCGTCTATAAGGAGAAAATTGTTAAAGACGTCTCATACCGAATAACTTAGCGCCCATACAAATTGAGAAAATTGCAACATACGACTTAGACCGTAAAAAAATCAATTTAATTCAAAACAAATCATTCAGATATTACAACCTATAGTCATCGATTATCTTTCGCCACATTTGTATATATTTAATATTTCATATTAGTTTTGATTTTGATTTTTAGAATAATATTTAGCTTACAACTTGTTTTCGAACATTCCCGGAAAATATGAAAATGTCGTCTTCATTACCAAAAATCCTCGAAACAGGAATAAATGTTTTTATAAGTAACTCTCAGATCATAACAATTAAAACATATTATGAAAAATCAACTATATATAAATGTGGATTAATGATTTCAAATCAAAGACGAACTCGATGTCGAACTTAATTCTCATGTTCACATGGACACCCTAGCCCAAAACTTAAGACAAGGTTTCGGAATGAAAAACAGTTTTGGAACCCGGGTTTCACGAATGGGGTTAGGTAATTTTGTGGATATCAATATATTTGGTATAATATAATACTTCATTTAGTTTCTTCATATTCTACATTTTTTTCGAAACTCTTAAATTAACATCTACACAAATGTTAAGACCCAAAAAAGGAAATTTGGGTGTTTCGTTCAACGATACTCTTTTAAATTGCGGGCTTTTGCGTATATGATATCTTTCTACATTCAGTGCAATTTATAATTTGCACAATATTTGCTAGGGAGTGGATTGCAGAATCTGCGAGAGTGTGTTATTGAAACAAAATGGAAATATGATGTAGCACCTGAAGAAAAACAGGTCAGTCCTGTTTTAAAATCCATAATCAATAATACTTTAATACTTTAATACTTTAATACTATAATACTTTAATACTTTAATACTTTAATACTTTAATACTTTAATACTTTAATACTTTAATACTTTAATACTTTAATACTTTAATACTTTAATACTTTAATACTTCAATACTTTAAAAGATTAAAACAATTCAAGACTGGATCTTTTGGACAACATATCACAAAGTTTATTTTTAATTTAAACTTTTGAATTTTAGAGTTTAACTTGTTTGCGATTAGAATTGCAAACAAATAATGAAAAAATCATTTTCAGTTTGCGGATATTTCATTGTTATTTGATCCCGGCATTGTAAAATCATAGAATTCATCAATGTGTTTTTAACCCTTGTGTATGTATGTGCCTAATAAAATATTTATTTATTAAAATGAAACGGAATAGGTGAGTGGAGTGAGAATGAGATTATCCGTCGAAACTCCTAATTGATGTTTAGCCTCGATTAAATAAAAAAAAACTGTTTTATCTTGTTTCTTTTCTTCATAATTTGTTTAAAAGTTCATGATTCTTAATTTCAGGCTGTTTGGAATTGAATTTTATGATTTTGTTTTCATGTGTTTGCAATTTCATGATTTTTGTTTTTATGCTGTTTGGAATGTCATGATTCTTGATTTTTGACTGTTTGGATAGTCATAATTCTTGTTTAAGATTGTTTGGAATGTCATGATTCTTGTTTTTAGGTTGTTTGTAATGTTATGATTCTTGATTTTAGGTTGTTTGGATGTTCATAATTCTTGATTTTAGATTGTTTGGATGTTCATAATTATTGATTTTAGATTGTTTGGATGTTCATAATTCTTGTTTTTAGGTTGTTTGGAAGTCCATGATTTTGAACTTTATGGAGAGATACTTTTACTTAATATGCTTTGGAACCTACGCTCTGCAGGTAGATCAAGATGGGTTTAAATAATTCAAGATACTTGTAACATTTTTACATGCTTTCGTTTCTAAATTTCTCTTAATATGTATCCTACAGATACAACTCCTGCTGACTATCAGCTATAATACTCAGTCTGTATCAATCCATATATGAACTCTTGTATCCCTCAATATGTATTGTACAGATGCAACTCCTGCTGAATATCAGCTATAATACTCAGTCTGTATCAATCCCGATATGATGCTCTTGTATCCCTCAATATGTATCCTACAGATACAACTCTTGTTGAATTTCAGCTATAATACTCAGTCTGTATCAATCCAGACATGACGCTCTTGTATCCCTCAATATGTATCCTACAGATACAACTCAATCTCAAACTCAAGGTTCCTTTAATCTGTATCTATCTTTACAGATACAATTCGAGCTGACACTTTGTTCTCTTACACGAGACAATGGATCTTGTTCAACTAACAAATATTTTGAGTTCTATGATACAGCTTAAATTAATGAACGTCATTACAAGTTATTTACAAGCGTAGTTAGGTTAATCGCAATACAGATTTTACAAAGTTATTTACAAGCGTAGTTAGGTTAATCACAATACAGATTTTACATAGTTATTTACAAGCGTAGTTAGGTTAATCACAATACAGATTTTACAAAGTTATTTAAAAGCGTAGTTATATTACAGACAATGTACAACGTAATATATCTATAAGGAGTGTTCAGGTTTATAAATATAGGGTTTTCTTCAATATTTATTACATACAGTTGTAGAACTTTCACTTTTAAGAATGTAGCTGTTTATTATACTAACAGTATCTTTAACATTTATGAAGTTGTAATTTTTATTTGTCTGTTTATTTGTCATGAACCCCTTAACCGATTTGTCTCAAATCTTAATATGGAAATTTGGGAGACCCATAAGAATATTCTTAGATTGGGTTTCAGAATTTATGTTGAGTGGGTCGACCTTCAAAAGGAAAAAAACGCTAAAATCGTAATTTACCACCAAGCGCGGGTAAACGGCGGGAGTACTTTTATTTCAACCTACAGATATGATTATTCCTCCTTTACTTTTATTTGAACTGAAACCTTTTTAATTCTAGATATCGAGACCAATGCTCAATCTCCTCTTTTTGTTATTCTTAATATTATTTTAATCTCTAGTAATGTCTGAATGAAATCTTGTTATTGATGAGTATGTTATTAATCAGGTTAAAATATCTAAATTAAATTTTGTTATTGATCAGTATATGTGTTATTTATCAGGTTAAAATATCTAAACGAAATCTTGTTATTGATCAGTATGTTATTTATCAAGTAAAAATATCTTAATGAAATCTTTTTATTGATCAGTATGTTATTTATCCAATAAAATATCATAATGAAATCTTGTTATTGATCATTATGTTATTAATCAAGTAAAATATCATAATGAAATCTTGTTATTGATCATTATGTTATTAATCAAGTAAAATAGCTTAATGAAATCTTGTTCTTGATCAGTATATATGTTATTTACCAGGTTAAAATATCAAAACGAAATCTTGTTATTGATCAGTATGTTATTTATCAAGTAAAAATATCTCAATGAAATCTTGTTATTGATCAGTATGTTATTTATCCAGTAAAATATCATAATGAAATCTTGTTATTTATTGATCATTATGTTATTAATCAAGTAAAATATCTTAATGAAATCTTGTTATTGATCAGTATGTTATTTATCAAGTAAAAATATCTCAATGAAATCTTGTTATTGATCAGTATGTTATTTATCAAGTAAAATATCATAATGAAATCTTGTTATTGATCAGTATATGTGTTATTAATCAATTTATAATATCTTAATGAAATCTTGTTATTGATCAGTATATGTGTTATTCATCACTATATGTGTTATTCATCAGTATATGTGTTATTAATCAAGTTATAATATCTAAATGAAATCTTGTTATTGATCAGTATATGTGTAATTGATCAGTTTATGTGTTATTGATCAGTATATGTGTAATTGATCAGTATATGTGTTATTGATCAGTGTATGTGTTATTAATCAAGTTATAATATCTAAATTAAATCTTGTTATTGAAAAGTATGGCTCTGATGGATTCAAGAAAACATTTAAAGAATGGATGAACGAGCATCAGGAGCTCAGAGGTAAGGAATCATGCTTAACTAATCAGATATAAACATGTCTAGTAGGAACCACGCTAAACTAATCAGATATAAACGTATGTTTTGTAGGATCCATGCTAAACTTATCAGATTTAAACATGTCTGGTAGGAATCACGCTAAACTAATCAGCTAACTATCAAACAAGCTATATATAACGATTCCAGGGATGATCTAATGTTTTAAATGTCACACAGGGACACAATCCACACGGCTACAATCCCGTGAACTATCAACGCCATTATAGGGGACGCGATCTCGTTAGCTATAGGTGTCAATACAGGCAGAAGCAATTAATTGATCAATGTCTCAAATAGGACACAATGCACACGGCTACAATCCCGTGACTAATCAACGCCACTACACAGGGCGCGATCTCGTTAGCCATTGATTTCAATACAAACACTAGCAATGAATTGATCAGTGTTAACTAGGACACGATCCACACGGCTATAATCCTGTGACTAATCAACCCCACTACACAGTGCACGATCTCGTTAGCTATCGATGTCAATACAGACACTAGCACTTTATAGGACAATACCAATACTCAAAGTATGATCTACACTCGTATGTTTCAACGAGAACCAAATTACTTCTAATACCGTAATCAAAGCAGAGTCTAAATCAACTAAATATCTTATGTCACAAAGTTAAAAGGAATTGACGTAGTTGCAATTCCTACGATGCTATCTATATCACATGATTAAGGCCATTGTATTACGTATTTATCGCACAACTAAGGTTTAATGTGCGTATTTATAAGATCAGAGAGAATAGATTTAATGCTATTAAGCAAACTGCGTACATGTTTTATAGCGTAATTTAAGTATGTCGCATGATCTATGCAGATGCTATTCATTTTAAGCATTCTTTTGAAACGCAGTTTCAATAAACAATGTCATTATGTCTAAGTTTACAACATTAAATCATTAATATGTACAACGTACTGCAAGTTTACATGATATCATGTTTACACGATTTTTGTGCTACATATACAGGTATGATATCTGGAGGGAAGGATAAACTAGAATGGTATATATATATACATATATATATTTACATATATATATATATTTATATGTATAACTATAAAGCAATAATCAGATAAGCTTCTCAGTTTTCATATTTATTAAAAATATAAAAATATATAGGTATGATATCTGAAGGGAAGGATAGACTAGAATGGTATAGGCAGGTTGACCCTGCTAAACTAAACACTCTCAAGGAACTAATTGCTGCTCCAGATTACAAGGTTAACCTTAACACTTTTGTTCAAATAAAAAACCTAAAAAATACATCAAATTTTATCCTAATACAACTTTACAGAGATTCTTAAAACTTTGCTTACAAAGATTTGCTCTCCAATCTTAAATAATTTTTTAGGACAAATGACAAATATGAGACTAAACCCACTACATAGCTTTTGGAAAAGAAGAAGAGCTTCTTAAACTTATTAGTATCTTATTCTTGGATAAACCTTATTAGTATCTTATTCTAGGGTAAACCTTATTAGTATCTTATTCTAGGATAAACCTTTTTAGTATCTTATTCTAGGGTAAACCTTATTAGTATCTTATTTTAGGATAAACCTTATTAATATCTTATTCTAGGATAAACCTTATTAGTATCTTATTCTAGGGTAAACCTTATTAGTATCTTATTTTAGGATAAACCTTATTAATATCTTATTCTAGGATAAACCTTATTAGTATCTTATTCTAGGGTAAACCTTATTAGTATCTTATTTTAGGATAAACCTTATTAGTATCTCATTTTAGGATAAGCTTGGCACCTTAATCCGAACAATTTATGATTTTGCGTTTCTAACCTACGCTGATCTCCCCCGGGGTCCGATAAAGAACAATTCAATGAGGAAGTTGGCAGCTAAAACTCTCATGGAAATCCTACCACCGGATATAGCTGAAAGGTACAGGGAACCCACTGTAGATATCACTTTTATGACGTTCCCCGTATCCTTTTAAACTCTGGTCATAATGTCTTCTTTGGAGATATAAAGTTTGTCGAGATTCAGAAAAAATAGGCCGAAAATTTTGTTTAAATCTTGCAAAACGAAAAAGTGGTTTAAAATTTTCGGAAATCTTGAGTTTTGAGAAATTCGTCAAAAATTGTGGATATAATCATTTCGTTCTTTAATCTCGTCGTTTCTAATTGACAAATAGTTTTCTTCCGATTTAAAGAATAATGTTCAGATTGTAAACATAATTTAATAAAATGTGTTTTCCAGGGTGAACAGAAAGCTAGATGAAGATCCAAACACATCTCATGATTTTGTTACTCTTGTTGGTTTAGTTTCATACTATGGAGATCAACCATAGAAACTATATTTCATGATTTTGTTACTCTTGGTTTAGTTTAATACTATGAAGATAAACTACAGAAACTAAGAGTCATGATCTTATTATTCTGGTGGGGTTAGCCTCAAAATATGAAGATCAATTGATCACGATTTTGGTTAAAAGTAAATAACCATGGATTTTATGAAGCTGTTATAAATCATGAAAGTGAACTTAAGATAATTAATTCTTTTTTGCAACGAAAGAATCTTTTGGAAGTTTTACATTGAAGTTCGAACAAAAATGTTAAAATATAACTTAGAAATCTAATTTAGACTTTTTAATTTCTCTTTCAATTTTTGAAACTGCCATTTCTAATATTAGAGTACATATTTGTACATCGTCGATGTATTTAGTTTGAATAAATATTTAGAGTTTTTCTCGACTCGTAACAAGATATAAACGATATTTTCAAGAAATAGGATTTTGTTGTATATGGATTTTTAAACTTTAAAAAAGTTTAATATTTAGCTTCCTTGGAAAATGTTCCGTTTATATGATAAAATGTTTTTTTACGATAATTACGAAGTTTTAACTTGAAAAAATTTGAATACTTTTCGGAACTAAAAAGAAAGATTAATACACTTACTCCACTTGTGACTTCTCGACTAAACTTTTCGTAAATTAAGTTCGACAAATGCTCGTCTAAAGTGCTTTCCACAGGGGGAATGATAGTTTCATACCTGTGTGCTCTGCAGTTATCTGTACTGTACACTTACATTTGTTTACTAATAATGATATACTTTAGGTTAGGCCAGAATCTCCTTATAATAAACAAATATGCAGTACGCTCTCGGTATAATTCATGGCCTATATAAATAATTAGTGAAGGATTAGCGTAAATCATCACTCTATACACTGTAACCTCTTTGCTTTCCCCTGTTCAAATTTAAATTGAACGAAAGTTTGAATGTCGTCTTCTTATTTTCCAATTTTAAAAATGCAGTATGTTCCAATTCCTTCTCCTTTTTATCCTTATCCCTTCTCCTTCTTATCCTTATCCCTTCTCCTTCTTATCTTCATCCCTTCTTCTCCTTATCCTCATCCCTTCTCCTTTTTATCCCCTCTCAAGATTACAAAATTCTTCTTCTTCTTATCCTTATCTATTCTCCTTCTATTCCTCATCCCTTCTCCTGCTTATCCTCATCCCTTCTCCTTCTTATCCTCATCCCTTCTCCTTCTTATCCTCATCCCTTCTCCTTCTTATCCTCATCCCTTCTCCTTCTTATCCTCATCCCTTCTCCTTTTTATCCTCTCTCACTTCTCAGAATTGCAAAATACAAAATTGGCTTTCCATTCTATCTGTCTGTCGCAAAAAAATCATTTCAAGTTAAAAATTCTAAGCAGAAAACATAAAATTTATTTCACAGCCTAATTATACAAAATTCAAATTCATAATCAGTACAATAACTTAATAAACTTGTTTTACGTGGTAATTTTAGTAACTCACCACATCATATACTAAACATTTTTGATGTTTTTTCATTGCACCAAATCTTGAAAATATGTTAAACCAATTTCCTAGTTATTCAGTGTTTGACATTTTTGGTTCAAACTTAGGTTGAAATATAAAAACAAACAAATAAAAAAAGTTTAAAAAAGGAATCTACATTCTATTCTATCCTTTTTCAATTTCAAAAGGGGTTTGATTTAAACTTTGAAGGGTAAAAACAATTTAAATTTCCAAAAACATTTTATCAGTAGACATTATATGATATAGTTTTATCATTATTCCACTCATATTTCTTTAAATAATATATTAAGCAAATGATAAAAAAATAATATTTCGAAACTAAGTTTAACAAAGTTAAAATCAAACTTGAATTTAGACTTATAAAAATATATTTTACAGATGGCTACATGATCAATACTATTGTATGGTTTAAATATCTTCCTAATCTATTATATATTGATGATATATATGTATTCCATAGATAGATAGATAGATAGACAGATAGATAGATAGATAGATTGATACAGGGTTCCCCACAAAGGATGAAACTAAACATTCAACATTTTTATACTTTTTTCCTCCCAAATCATTTAATAGGTCGAAAGAAGACTAATTATTAATCAAAAGAACAAATCTTACCTTTTACTCCCTTGGAGGTAACCCTGTAGATGAATATATAAGTTAATATTGACGGAAGGTTGGGGGGGGGGGGGGGAAGTTAAGCATTTGATGAAGAATTCTTAATGTAGATTGAGATGAAACATTCACGATAAAAGATTATTCAGGCGAACAGAATTGATTTTAGATGAATGTGAATCTTTTAAGGATGAAGAAAATGTTTAAAAACTGAAAAAATGGCAAAACAATAGGTTATTTACCTGCAGAAACTTTACTGGAAATTTCGGGGATTTTCGGTTTAATCGTCTTTGCATTGGATTGGTATCATGGAATTCACAAGGATAGCCTTGAAACTATTATCTGATCAATAATGTAGAAAATGTCGTCGGTTTCAATCTTTAAAGTGTTCTTACAATTCCTCCATTGTTTCTGCAGCAGAAAGCGAAAGTCACTTTTTGTGAGAAACTATAATTGAAAGTTCTAAATCATTCTTTATCAGATAAAGCTTTTTAGGGTACCGTTGTGAATAGGACTTGTAATTCTATAAATGAAGGGTCCCATGGAAAATGCGTTAACATGCTCTTAAATCATTTACCCGGAAGAAAACAAAAAGTTTATTCCAGGAATTTTTTAGAAAAATTGGACAAAAGTGCAATCACTTTTGGTCAGCCATTTTTCGGGTTCTCAAGATATCTAAAAAATCGTGTGTTTAAGCCCTCTAATGTCCAAAGAGATATCCATGGCACATTAAAGAGCGAAAGGAAATAACCGATGAGAGATGTTACATGGGTTAAATGATAAAATGTTTCAAAAACCATGGAACAGGAGTGAGCTAATGGGTTTAACGATGATGCAGAATTGAATATATATTATTTCTTAGTTCGGAACTTATGTTTAAACTTATTCCTCCAAAGGTATAAACATCATTTCGAGGAGGAATATTATTAATCCGCAGATCCCTGACTTCAGGTTAAAGTATGACTGTAGATCTGGAGCTCAATACTTGATCCAGATCCTTGACTTCAGGTTAAAGTATGACTGTAGATCTGGAGCTCAATGCTTGATCCAGATCCCTGACTTCAGGTTAAAGTATAACTGTAGATCTGGAGCTCAATGCTTGATCCAGATCCTTGACTTCAGGTTAAAGTATAACTGTAGATCTGGAGCTCAATGCTTGATCCCTGACTTCAGGTTAAAGTATAACTGTAGATCTGGAGCTCAATGCTTGATCCAGATCCTTGACTTCAGGTTAAAGTATAACTGTAGATCTGGAGCTCAATACTTGATCGAGATCAATGACTTCAGGTTAAAGTATAACTGTAGATCTGGAGCTCAATGCTTGATCCAGATCCCTGACTTCAGGTTAAAGTATAACTATAGATCTGGAGCTCAATACTTGATCCCGATCCCTTACTTCAGGTTAAAGTATAACTGTAGATCTGGAGCTCAATACTTGATCCCGATCCCTGACTCCAGGTTAAAGTATAACTGGGCCTGTTGTAATAATAACCATTTGTTGCTGAGAGTCAGTTTTAGAAAAACACCCTTCATCGCAATCAAACACAGAGTTAGTGCTCTGAAACAAATACTTATCTTAACAACTCAAGGGAATTAAGTCTTTGCAACAAACTCTAATTTACTAACGCCTATATCTGTACAGCCCATTGTCGTAGACCTTAGATATTTAAAACTAGAAATTCTGTTAGATCAAATAATCTAAGTTTGAAATATCTAAGATTTAATTTGTAGCAAATACTTAATTCCATTTTTCGGAAAATCAAAAGAATAAAATAAATTTTATTTCAAGGCAATAAAAAACGTATTGTGTTTTATGTTTTACTTTGAATTAACTATCCGCGTAGTTTCAAGTAACCATGCATTAATTAGATTAAATTCCATAGTTATAAAACCTATTTACAACGGTAACCCTAAGGAGAACAGGTGAAGTTAACTTATTTTTTACCTTAAGTCTCTGATACAGCTTAAACCAACTTTTTTTTTTAAATTCATTTATTAATATTTCTTTGTTGTAATTAGTGCATAGTGGAGAGTCTCTTGAATATTTGGTTGCAGCAAGGTTTAAGGGTATTATTGTAAATAGTGCATAGTGGAGAGTCTCTTGAATATTTTGTTGCAGCAAGGTTTAAAGGTTATTGCTGTAAATAGTGCATAGTGGAGAGTCTCTTGAATATTTTGTTTCAGCAAGGTTTAAAGGGTATTGTTGTAAAAAGTTCATAGTGGAGAGTCTCTTGAATATTTTGTTACAGCAAGGTTTAAAGGGTATTATTGTAAATAGTTCATAGTGGAGAGTCTCTTGAATATTTTGTTACAGCAAGGTTTAAAGGGTATTATTGTAAATAGTGCATAGTGGAGAGTCTCTTGAATATTTTGTTACAGCAAGGTTTAAAGGGTATTGTTGTAAATAGTGCATAGTGGAGAGTCTCTTGAATATTTTTTTACACAAGGTTTAAAGGGTATTATTGTAAATAGTGCATAGTGGAGATTCCCTTGAATATTTTGTTACAGCAAGGTTTAAAGGGTATTGTTGTAAAAAGTTCATAGTGGAGAGTCTCTTGAATATTTTGTTACAGCAAGGTTTAAACGGTACTGTTGTAATTATAATAGTTGAGAGTCTCTTGAATTTTTGTTGCAGCAAGGTTTAAGGGTATTATTGTAAATAGTGCATATTGGAGAGTCTCTTGAATATTTTGTTACAGCAAGGTTTAAAGGGTATTATTGTAAATAGTGCATAGTGGAGAGTCCTTTGAATATTTTGTTGCAGAAAAGGTTTAAAGGGTATTGTTGTAAATAGTGCATAGTAGAGAGTCTCTTGAATATTTTGTTACAGCAAGGTTTAAAGGGTATTATTGTAAATAGTGCATAGCGTAGAGTCTCTTGAATATTTTGTTACAGCAAGGTTTAAGGGTACTGTTGGAAATAGTGCATATAACTCTCTTGAAATTACTTGTTAACAGTATCTTTAAGAGGAAAAGAAACCCCATACTGTAGTAGGAGTAGGATTCCNCCCCCCCTCCATTTGAACCTAGTAGCGCATTGAAATCAATCGAATTTTGTCTAATGTTCTACAAATATCTGACACAGAAAGATTTTCTGGATTTACTTTAAACTAGAGGGGGTCCAAAGAAACATGACAGCTGGTGAAGAGTTTTAAATTTCTTCTTCATAATTTGTTAAGTTCTTTGATACTAAAGCTAGAGAATAACAAAATTTCACGAGGCAGTCATATACTTTTAAACGTTTATATATATATATATCTGATTTCTAAGTAAAAGAAATTCAAAAGATTGTTTTGACGAAATAAACTG